CATTCTCCTCCTTGGATTTTGGGCATGCACGCACATATATCCAGTGTGATTTTTGAGCCACCAGGTCCGGGATTTGAAATTAAGGAGTTAGGGAGTCTTAACACCTTATCCACCATGCCAACGCTGGCCCCTGTTCGAAGTGTTTGACATGTCTTAACTCATTTAATCTCTGAAACTTATAAACTAGTTACCATTATTGCTTCCATTTTACATTTGAGGATACTGGAGTCCAGAGAAGTTGAGTGACTTGCTCTGGGTCATGTCGTTTCGTAAGTGCCAAGCTAGGATTTGAACCCAGACTGATCCTTGAACCTGTGCTCACTGTTCACCAAGAGTGTGGTGGTATTCCTGGCTCACACTTGGGATGCTTTTCCCCCAAGGCCCCGCTGGCTTGCCCTCCCACTGCCTGGGGGCCTCAGCCCTGGCTCAACATCGAGGCCTTCCCTGACTCCCATTCCCACCACCACTCCCTTTCATCTTTCCTGACTTTCGCTTCCTCCATAGTACTTTTCACAGTCTGACACATTGTGTTATGTTCGTTTTGTCTTCGGTGTCTGTTCCGCCCTGGGCGGTGGAGGGCAGGGATTTTTTTCTTGTGTTTATTCTGCTCTATCCAGGAAAAATCTGGTAAATGGATGAATGGTTGGGATATTGGTCCTTCCTGATCCACTTCGTGTGCCAGAATGTGCAGAGAAGAAACAGTGGTTCAGGTTTACATCACCAGGTCATTCAGCGATTTACCCTCTGGTAAATGGATGAATGGTTGGGATATTGGTCCTTCCTGATCCACTTTGTGTGCCATAATGTGCAGAAAAGAAACAGTGGTTCAGGTTTGCATCAGCAGGTCGTTCAGCGATTTACCCTGTCTCATTTCTTCCACGTGTTAGTGCACTGTGGTGTCTTTCTGTGGCCATGCTGATGTTTTTGAGAATGCATTTTGAATGGTACATTAGACTCCCAGAAATACTGCCTTAATCATTTTTGTTAAAAGTAATTATCAGGACCAGCAGTTGGCATAATGGCTATGTTGCAGGACTCCTGTGTAGTTGACCGTGGTTTGCATCCAGACCCGGTGGCTTAAATTCACGTCAGCACATGTGCGTGTGTGCCCAAGATCCCCAGAGGAGAATGGAGGAGAAGGGATTGTGGCGTGGCCATCCCCCC